GCTGGCCAGGGTGTTGGGTTGGGGTGCTGCTCGGCGCTCTGGTCAAGGTCCTGTTTGGTGTGTTTCTGGCCGTTCTTGTTTGTCAGTGCAGTCAGGGTGCTGCTCTGGAATTTGCTGGTGGGGGGTGCTGGTCTTGGTGCGGCTGTGGCTTGGTGGCTCAAGGTGAGGTGCCAGTTTCTGTTGGTGCATGTTGTTTGGCAGTGCAGTCAGGGTGCTGTTGGCCCATGGTGCATTTTGTTCCGCAGGTGCAGATCTTCCGGGACGCGAGCCCGGAGGTGGTGCGCTACCGCCTGGGCATCTGGGAGGGGCCCATGGTGGACGAGGCCGGGTTTGGTTTACGCCACCCTTTGGGCCCCGTAAAGGAAACGCACAAGGAATGTAACACCAGTGTAAAATTACAACGCGTTTGAGCAGGTTTTGGGTTTCCCCGACCTTTAAAACGCCGGTTTAACCTGTTGACCCAATGGAGTTCGCGGGACTTTGAGGCCGGCGGTCTGCGCTTCGTGCGGCAGTGGCCCGGGCGAGACGCCGCATCAGCGCAGCGCAACGAGCGCTACGACGACCCGCGGTTAGAGGCCGCGGCGAAGCTCGGCCGAATGCGCGGAGCTTGGCTTGGGAGGTTAGCTTGCTGGTTTTTACGTGTTTGTGTGGGTTGATGGTTTGGCTGGCGTGGGTTTTAGCGGAGAATGATGGACAACCAAACTCTATGTTGCAATCACCTTCTTCAGGGTGTCGGTTTTGCTAGGGTTCTTGGCGGCAAAGTAAGGTCTAAGTGCCTATGGCAGGGGGAGATTTGGTTGTTTTCTTGTTTTGTGCCGGATCCCACTTAGGAATACCGGTTCAGAGCAGGGGGCATGGGATTGCTGTTTTACATCGTAGGTTGTTGCAGCTTTTGGGGGGTTGGGGCTGCAAAATGGCCTCCCACGCGGGCAAAAGGCGACGGATTGGGATCAACACCTGAGGCTTCAGGGTGAACACCCTTTGTATGCCCTTGAGCTTGTGAACTTGTTGTTTTTGTGCTTTCCTCTGTCTTGAGGCCTTTGCTCACTCAGCTGACCCTTTTAACCTTTTAGCCAATTTAGGCTTGCCGTGGGGTCTGCACTGTGAATCATTGGTCTAAAGGTCTGGGGCCTTTTTGGGCGATCAATGAGGACAGCTAGCAAAAACTCATGACCCTTTCTTGATGTGTAGGGGGTGCTAATTTATTTAGGGAATTTAAGCGTTGGAAAAGAAGGAAAAAAAGGTCGGCCTGTCTAGGGGGCACATCCACCCTAAACGGGTTCCAGTAACCGGCCAGCCGCGCTTGACCAGGAACATCTCCTTCCGCCTGGGGGGTTGGCTACACCTCTGGCGGGGCTTTTCCCATGAACCCTTCCCGCTGCTGCCGGGCCGATTGAAGGTTGGGAGTTTCTGGCAAAAAGGGGTTGGGCGGGGCGGCAGCGCAGCCTGTTTTTCCTTGCCGGTGAATGACCCCAAACTGAACCATCCCTTACGTTTTCTGTTTCAGGGGATCCCCCTTCTGGTTCATTCCCAGAAAGCCCTAAAACAATTCCCTCAGCACCAGCAAGTGTTGGGTCCCGTTTCAAGCGCCCCAGCTGATTCTTCATAGCTGCAAAGGCCCCAACTAAACGGCACCGAACACTGCCCCAGCGAATTGTTTATATTTGTTGGGCGGCCCAAAATTTTCGGCTTGCCCTTTGGTCTTCTTTCACTCACCCCACACTACCCACTACCCGAAAGCGCGGGCGGCCAACAGTCGCAAGGCGCTGTGCCAACAACTGGGGGAGGCTGTGGTCACTGCGCCGGGCATGGCCACCACGCAGATGATCGCACACATGGAGGCCATCGGGGCGGATGGGTCCGGGGCATAGCAGGTGTTTGCTTGTGTTTGCATGTCTTTATGTACATATGTATATACATATGTGTGATTATATATATATATATGTATTGTGTTTTCATGTATGGGTGTATTGTTTTGTGTAGTGTATATGTGATTACTGTATTTGTGTATGTGTTTGTCATTTGTGTATTGTTATTTGTTTACTCGGTTATTGAGTGTTTTGGAGATGTATCCATAGTTTTCCTTTATGTGTGCACGTATGTGCGTAATGTACGTATGGAATGCAATATATTGCAGGGTTCCCTTTATCACGTTCTACCATTATCCTGAAAGGATCCCCCTCTTTGCGACCGGCACACGTATAGTTCTCTTGCCCCCTTGGCGAGCTTGGGTTGCTGCGTTCTGTTGTTAGTCGTGATGTAGTTACCGATTTGGCCCGCTTGGCTGTTGCCAGTGCTGCGTGCGTTGGGCTCAGATGCCTTGTGGTGCCTAGTGCTCCCCTTTGCTGCTCTTGCTTGTAGCGTTGTTGTTGACACGAGCAATGATCAAAACTTGCGATTGTTTGTAATAAAAGGGATGACGTTGGCAAGGCTCGCTTCTTTTACCTCGAGGTGCTGGGGAGAGGGTCCACAAAATGCACCTTTCGGGTGGGCACACAGCTGACTGCTGGCTGTTGCCCAAAACCTTTTTCTTGTTTTTGCTTCAGAGAGCCCTTTGAAGTAATGAAATGCAATGCAATGTAATGTAATGTGTCAATTGTGTAATGTATGAATGCAATGTACTGTAATGTAATGCAATGTAATGTAATGCATGTATGTAATCCAATCTAATGTAATGTAATGCAATGCAATGTCTTGAAATGTAATGCAATGCAACGTTAGGTAATGTAGTGTAGTGTAATGTAATGGAATGTAATGTAATGGAATGTAATGTAATGTAATGTAATGTAATGTATGTGTGTATGTATGTATTCAATGTATGCATGTATGTATATGTATGCAGGTATGTAAATGTTGTAATGTAGTGTAATGTAGTGTAGTGTAGTGTAATGTAATGTAATGTAATTCAATGTATGTGTGCATGTGTGCATGTATTTAATTTATGAATGTATGTATTGTATTGTAATGTAATGTAATGCAATGTATTGTAATGGTCTGCAATGTGTATGTATGTTATGTAGGGTAGTGTAGTGTAGTGGTAGTGCAACGTCATATAATGTAATGTTATGTCATGTAGTTCAGCTAAATGCAATGAAATGTATTGTATGCATGTAGTTTTAGGTAATGTATGGATGGGTAGGGTATGGGTATGGTATGTAAGGATGTATGTATGTAATGTATGTAGTACATGTAAGGAATCGAATGTGTGTAATGGTGTAGTGTTGTATTTAATGTATGTAATTTATGCATGTAATTTATGTAGTGTATGTAATGTACACAATGTACGTAATGTATGTACTTGTTGTAAGACTGTATTCATGTGTGCAAATTATGCTATTCCGTCTTGTATTGTGCTATGCTATGTATGCATGTATGTTTTGTTTTGTATATTGTGCGTTGATTTGCTTACGTGTTGACGTATTTGTCAACTTGTGTGTTTGTGTTGTGTCTGTCTTTTTTGTTTCTTTATTTCTTTCGTGTGTTTTTGTCTTTATGTAGTTATTTGTTTGTGTTTGTGTTTCTTTATGTACTTATTTCACGGTTGTTGTTTATGTATGTCTTCATTTTGCTATTCACGTTTATTTATACATGTATGTATTAATCTAGTCATTCATGTATGGAGTCATTTGTTCATTCAGTTGTCTGGTTATTTGTGCATTTACATATTGAGTCCCTTATTGCTGTGTGTTTTGTTTGCCTCGTTGTATGATTTCTTGCTTTGTTTATTTGTTTACTTATTGTATTTCTGCGTTTATTCTCAAGATGTGTTTACACGGGGTTCTGACAAGAGTTAACGCCGTCTGGTTTAGATCGAGGGCTCAAAAGTGTTGGTGTGAGCAAAATGTTGCTTTCGATGCGATCTCGCACGAAATGCGCCTCGGGAACAGTGCGTTTTTGATGGCAGGGACGCTGTCAGGGCGGCTCGCGCTCTGTTTTGAAAAGGAAGCTCGTGCCAAAGGCTTTTGTTGCTATAGAGCAAAGTGAGTTTTGGGTTTTGTGTGTTGACAGCTTGATTCCATGGCGTTTTCGAACCCTGGAGGGTTCAAAGTGGAAGCGTGGACCTCAGATATTCTGGAAAGGTTGTGTCATATCATGCGTGACCGCAAAATCGTGTCCATGTGATATATCTACACTATACCTATAGATATAGACATATGCTGAGGTATATTTTCTACATCTAGACATACATCTAAGGGCCTGTTTTTTGACGGTACTGGAAGTCATAGGTTGTTTTACGCGGCTGTTTTGAACGGACACCGAAAGGAAAACCACCAGTGTGGGGTCCAAAACCGTATAGAGACACATGCCAATACATATGTATATATATATATAGAGAAAGATATATGTTCATAAAATATGTGTACATATAGATATTATACATATATATATATATTAACATATAAAGAGAACTAAGCCAAGCTCGATGGCCGGCCAGAGCGCAGGAGTTGCTGCCGCGGCTGGAGCCCCCGACCCCGCCAGCGCGCCCCGTGGTGCCGGAGCTGTCGCCAGAGGAGGAGGCGCTGCAGCCCATGGTGGCGGCGCTGTTGGCCAAAGCGCACCTAGGCTTCGCTGAGCATTGGATGACACTAAAACCAGCGAAAGATTGGGTGTATACATATATATATATAGAGAGAGAGATAGATAGATATATATATATATAAGTATATATATATATATATATATGTATACATAAGATATATTGGTCGTTCTCGCAAGCATTGCCGAGGGTTCGCCGCCAACTCTCACTAGCGCGCTTACACGACTTGCACAGGGAAACCAAAAGGAAAGCCAGCGGAAGGAGCAGAGAGAGCCCTTGGATCAGAAACCTCAAGAAGGTTCAATCAGGCATAGGTTTGGGTGTGAAAGCAGGGGACCCAGCGATAGCCGCTTTGATTGCAAAGGTTTCCCTTGACTGCCTTTGGTGTGTACAGTTAGCCATGTTTGGCTCGAAATCCGGTGGATTTCTGGGATGCAAAGTCCCGCATCCCCAGCATCACCAGCTTTCTTGCATGCCCCTAGTTTTTGGGAGCCCTTCCTGCATGATGCCACTACAGCGCGCATTTGGGGCTTGACTGTTTTGGGGAACCACCGCGTATGAATCCACCGGTTTTCCTTACGCGGCCGGCCGCTTCACCAAAGTCATGTTCAAAATATGGCAAGTTCAAAGATTGCACTTTACGCGTTTGCTGTTCCAGGTTTGCGGGAAATCAAATGACCGAGGACGTTCCAATGGGCTTCAGCTTGCCCCATTCTTGCCAGGCTGAGCAAGAGCAATCAGCAGTCAAAGTGGGCTGGGCACAGGGCCGGTTGCCTTCTGAAAGGAAGGGAGCACGGGGATGTGCCAAAGGTGACCCCAGGCATGTGTACAACGAGAGGAAACCAACATGTAGGCGTGTATAAAGCGGTGTGACGCACGCAATGCGTGTAGTTGTGAGGGTGGAGGGCAAATTGTGGTTCGGCCAAGGCAACGATCAGGATGATCAGGGAAGGTGAGTAGTTGGATAAGGCAGGCAGCTACTTCTGGCGAGAAAACGCAAAGCCACCGGCGCTCAGGTACAGCGAAGCTATCGGAGAGGCCTCGCGGAGAGAGATGGAGATGATGTTGCAAGATGGCAGGCAGGGCGAGGGCTATGGGGTTGTTGACTGAGCAACGGGAGTTTAAGTTTGGTTCAGACATCGGAAAAGTGTAGGTCGCTAAAGAACGGAGTCACTAGATATCACTAGATCATTTGCTGGGAGAATGGCTGGGCAAACTGGAGGCTTCCCGGTGACTCGGACGACTTTGCGGCCCGAATCACTTGCAACGTTGCCTATTTTGCTGCGCAGGCCGGGCGGGTTGGGCTGGTCTGGAGTTTACACAGCTCTTTTATGGCAGGCTAAACAAGCTAATCCATGAAGGTTCTTTTCGTACTGTTTCCTGATTTCTGGTTGGCTTTGCGGTTCTGCGGCGAAAGAGGTGCTTGTTTGGTTGATTCGCTGCCCGACCAAAGCTGTCAGGCCATTGTGGCGAATTTGGAGCATGAAGAGTGGGCAGCACGCCAGTTTCCTCCAGAGGAGGACCTGGAGGAGTTTCCCGAAGATTTCGACGATGATCCTTTCGAGGAGGAGGATGAAGAGGAGGAGGAGGCCGAAACCTCAGAGGAAGAGATCGAGGAGATTGGCGAGCGGAAGATTGAGTCTGAAGAGGAACTGGAGGAAGAGGAGGAGGATCCTGAGGATGTGGTGGCCCTACAAGAAGACGAGGATCAGGAGGTGGAGGAGACGGACGATGTGAAGCCCACCATCCCCAAGTGCAAAGGCTTCCTGGCCTGCCTTGAGACCGACCATACTGCATGGGCGCGCGAGAATATGCGACCTTGGACCCCTCCCAGCAGGCGGCCGACCGTGAGCTCCCCCAAGGCCATGTGGCCGGAGTCCCCGAAGGTGTCGGCCTTGCACCGGCCCAGGCTGGGCCGACAGGCGACCCTGTGGGCCAGGACTGGGTCACTGGATGACTGGACGACTGGATGTGAACGACTTCTGGTCTGTGTGGTGCCATGGTTCCGGGTAACAAAGACGCCTGAAAGATTTGAGTGGAACTTCTGTTCCTATGTGTTTGAGAATGGGCCACGAGTAGGTTGACCTAAAAGTGGCTGAAGCGTGTTTTTCTCGGGGTATTTGGGGAGCTTTTCCGTAGGACCAACTTCGGGGACGAGGCCGAGGCCGAGGTCCCGGTCATGGAGGTGGCGGAGGCGTTGCTGGCCCATGCCATGGCTTGCCCGGCCGTGGACGAGCAGGAGCAGGTGGCGCAGGCGTTGCTCGGCCATGTGAGGGGGGATCTGGAGGTCTCGGCCGAAAGTGGGAGCAAAGAAGAAAAAGATGAGGAGAAGGAGCAAGAGCCAGCCAGTCTTGAGCAAGATCCAGCTGAGGAGACACGTGAGGAGCCACGTGAGGAGCCACATGAGGAGCCACATGAGCAGCCACATGAGCAGCCACATGAGGAGGAGGAGCGACCTCAGGAGCTTGAGGAGTCTACGGTTGCGCCCCAGAGCCAGGCTCAGGACCTGGAGTCGCCGCATTGGCTAGAGGTGGAGCTGAGCCCAGACCTACAAGGACAAGTGGATGCGTTCACGGAGCGCTTGCGAGAGGCCACTACTACCTTCAACCACAGCACCGGGGATGACGGCTCCTATGACGTGGACGAGTTCCTATTCAGCGCCGGTGGCTTGGTTCTCAGGAAATTGGGATGGGAATCATATGGCCGGCTTTTCAGAAATGCTCAGGCACGTTGCTTGGGCCTGGGGTCATTCCACCCAAAGTGGCTCCTTTCAGGGCGACCACTACTATTTTGGGCCTTTATGATTGCATATTAGACCGCCTGGGGAGGTGTGCTCGACCCCTCGTTGAACTTGGGTGCTCGGTCCTGCAATTAGGAACCAGAAAGAAAGAAAGGCGGAAGCCAGAAACCCCTCTTTTCGGCGGAACCCTCCTTTCAGAGCTTAAACAAACGAATCGCGCAACGAAGCACCACTGGAAAAGCCGGCTGAGCGCTTGGGCAAGCCTTTGTTGCCCTTGGAATTTGTGGTTTCTTTTCTCCAAGAACCGTTTCTAAGGTATGTTGCACCCCTGTCTCTTCAACCAGAGCCCAGTGCTTTCTTTGCTAACCCCAAACCACTCTGTGCCAGAGAAACATATAGCTTATACAGGATTATGTACCCCGTTTGTCGCAGGGGGGGGGTTAAGCTTCTTACACCCAGGCCTTTTCGTTGTTGGAGGGGAGGTTTCTTAAAATCAACTACGGTGGACACCCTAACTATTGCAAGTAAGGGCACAAGGAAACAGTGCAAAGGAAACCCTGTAATTCAACGGACAACACCAGGGTCTTGTGGTTGAGAATGGTTGGCTTTCTTGCCCATGGAATGGTGTTCCCTTTTTCCCCCCTTTGTTGGCTTGAAACATCACCTTTCCCTTCAGATGTTTCATGGGGAAATATTGGTGTCCACAAAGGCCCCCAACTAAAATGCAAATCCATATTTTCCGCAAAATGGGTTCCGAGCCCTGGCTGGGTAGTTTGAAAGGGAACCCAAAAGGAGGCTAACCAGAGGGGACCCCTCAATTTGGGGAGACAGCCATTGGGTTTTGACTTTAAACTGAACCTCCCAAACCAGTGGTTCCCCTTTGGCTTCCCTCATCTTGAAAGCCCCTTAGGAAGGTGCCTCAAAACAGACGAGCAATGGTCCCCCAAAAAAATTGCACCACTCCCACCGCTTCCCTCCCCATGCCTTCCCCCATGGTTTCCCGCAACCCGCAACCCGCAGGCTGGAACTGGTCCACCTCGCAGCCGGAGAGCTCGGAGGCCTTCCGCAGCGGCCGCGCGGACCTGGCGCGGGCCTCGATCTTGGACCCGCTGACGCTGCTGGAGAGCTCCCCACAGGACCGGGGGGAGAAGGGGGGGAGAGGAAGGGGGAAGGGGTCGCCATGGGGGCGCGAAAAAATGGCTGCTGGTTGAACTTTTGCTTGGGAACCAAAGCAAGACTTTGAAGAAGGCAGACCTAATCATTGTTGCTTTTGAGAGCAATCCTTTTGTCCGACCCCCAAACCTGTTTATGTGACCCCGAGTTTCCACTCAGAGACTTACGGGTTCTAAACATGGCTGAGAGTTGAAAACAAATTGCCATAATTCGACTAGTGACCGCTTCTTGCGGTGGACCTTCAAAGCAACTCCAAAGTGGGGTTTTGTTGCTCTTGGCATTCCTTTAAACACACCCGTCATCAAGAAAGGTTCTTGTTGTCGGTTCCCTTTTAAGCCGGAAAACCATTTGCCCCTCAAAGGGACAGTTCCTCTTGGTGGGTTCCATGTCGTTTTGTGGACGGGATGCGGCACCATTCCCTTGGTATTTTCTGGATGACCAAACCATGGGGAAGACTGCGCCAATGGGTCGAAATCCCGTACCCCCAGTGAACATCCCAATCCCCACTAAAATAGACTAAAATGGGTGGTGCACCTACCACAAAATGGGATCCCATTAGTTTTGACAACCACAGCCATTTCTTTCCGCCCTGGCGGAAAAGACGAAAACGACAACCCAATGGCCTCCAGCCCCGCGGCAGGACTACGAGTCGGTGAGCCGGGGCTGCGCGGCGAGGCCCCCGTCCCCCAACCGGGGCAAGATGCGGCTGGCCTGGTATCTGGAGGATGCCAAGGAGCCAGGCCCAGTGGATGTTTTATATATATTTGGCGGTTGGCCTTCATAAAGTGCCCAAAAGACAAGGACGCCTTCCCACTGCTGTTGGGTCCCTCTTTCGACACATACCTACGTGGGTATTTGCTTCAATGAGGCACACCTTGACCAAACAATGAAATACATCTGGGCATCTTATCGCCATGTCTCTAAGTCACGGTGAAGGTTTCTTTCTTGTGGGTCGTGGTCCACGTCCAAAACGAGGCCATCTGTCCCTTGAGGCAGTGCCGGCTTCGTTCCCCGAAGTGCACGGCCCCGGTCCAGCAGCCCCCGCATGGTGCGCCAGGTGTGGCCCGGGTTAGCATCGGATCCACAAGAGTCCAGACCTGTGCACAGACAGGAGACACCTCCAGCCCTCAGACTCCTCGTGTTTCTTCACTTCTTGGGTAGACCGGCAGACTGTACAAGGTTTGATTGTGACTCACAAGGACGTGGGATGAGGTCAAAAGGACCTACAGGTTTGGAAGAGAGGAGAGCACGGGCGTGGTCGAAATTCCGTGCCCTTTTTAGTCTTTTGGTATTCCCTGTGAAAGCCAGCACAAGGCGGCACCGTCCAAAAAGAGGCCGTACCCCTCCTTTTCGGAGCCCATGTTTGACCCATGACCCATCCTTTCAACCCTTGGAATACAGCCACCTGTGGTCCAGCATCCTGTGGTTGCTTGCCTTACCTTGGTTGGTGGCTGGATTGGTGCTTTGGGATTCGAGCCCCTGGTTCTTGGAGACCTCCAAACCACGCATCCAAGGCAACTAAGCGGGAAGCTGATTGAAGGGACACGCCTGGCAGGCCCCGAAGAACGCCAAGGCCCAGGCAGCCAACGCCCGAGTGTCGCGCCGGGGCGTGGGCAAGCCCCCGCCCAAGGCTGGGGCGCTCTTCGCAAAACATCCAGCGCCTTTGGGTTGGCTCTCGTTTTCTTGGTGTGTTGGTTCTTATTCGCACAAAAAAGACGACCACCATCAAACAACAATGGGGTTAGTATAGCCACTGTTGGTTACCCGAGGACTTTCCATCATCAAAATTGGGTCAACCGTTATTCTGATGGGCTTGAAACGAGGACGCAGGTAGACAGCTTCCCGCGAGGCCAAGTTGGAGCAGCGGCCTCCCTCGGCGGATTGCTACACCCGGCCCCGCTCGGAGGGGCTGCTACCGAACCGCCCCGCGCCGGCGGCGGTGGAGGCGAGTTCCTAGTTGGATTTTGCCGACGTTGGCTTGCAAAAAATGTGGGTTGCCTTGGCTTAGATGGTTGCCAGTTGGATTTTCCCTTAAGTTTTCGTTGGTTGTTGAATGTGGTTGTGGTGGTTTCCCTTGGATACGTGTTACAATAGCAAAATTTACGTGGCTTGCCTGGCTGACCGCAAATGAACCCGCCAAGAACAGTCATGGAACTTCACTTAGAGGGTCCTGCTAGAGGAAAATGGTGTTGGGGCGTGCCAGGTTGGGAGGGTAAAATGAGACCTGAAAGAAGGGTCCCCGAATAGTTTTAGGTTGCATGTTTATCTGGAGTGTAGCCATGTTTCTTTAGCTAAGATGGGGTTGCCAGCCCCCTGGCAAAGATTGAAACGAACATGGGAGAAGCATTGTGCATCGAGGGATGTTGCCATTTTTAAGCGCATCCCGGTTGCAGATTGTGCTTGATTTTTGAAGTAGCACTAGGGGAAGCCAATTGCCAGGCCAGGCTGAACCGACCTTTATGCTTTTTGGGGCTTCCTTGATGTCCCTTTTCACCAGCAACAACTTAACGTGTGGGCGGGCCAAAGTTTGGCCAAGTGTTGTTTCAGCATGTTCCCTTGAAAAGGAGCCCGTTGAGGGTATGCTGAGGAGCGTTGCCTTAGCCGCCTTAGCCATCACCGATATCATATTAGGTTGGTTTACGCTTGTTTAGCGCGGGTTTAGGGATGGTTGGTTTCGGCGGGGTTTAGCTTCGAAACTGCCTATTCCAAGTCACCTGCACTCGAGTTTCCTTGGGTTCCCTCAAGGGAATGGTTTTGTTTAGCCTGATCCAAATGGGTGTTTCTCAAGAGAGTGGTTTTTGGTGGTTCCCTTGAGCTGCCAACACTCGCAAATCGCTTCTCCGATTCCCTTCTTGAGAACCCCCCCAACTCCCAACCCCCCCCTCAGCCTCATGTGGGGTGATCTTCCGGGTGGTTTTCGCGCCGACCCCCCCACCCCCCCACAGCCGACGACGCGCCCCGCCCGCCCGCGGCTTGAGAGGCGGCCAAGTCCACGAAGCGGTTCCTGAGCCGCACCTGCGGCACCATGCAGGCGGAAGTCCCGACCGATGGGAGCGAGCGAGCCGTTTCGGGGCGGTGCTTTTTTGTGGAGGGACGTCGACCCCTTTGGAGGGGCGTTTTCTGGTTTAAAGGGAGACCATGTTGGTGGGTCCCACCCCGCTTTGACACAGCAAGGTTTTGGTGGGTTTAAAGGGAGACCATGTTGGTGGGTCCCACCCCATTTCACAGCAAGCTGTTTAAAGGGAAGTGGTTGGCGGACATGAATCCCCACCTGTCCACCGAAAAATCCCCAATTCAAGTTCAAAGGTTGAAGCACAAGGAGGGGGGTCGATTCGTCTACAGTGAATCATGGTGGCATCATGTTTAGATCAGATTTCAACCAGAATTTAAGGTTGTTTTGATATATTTGTTTGTACCTTTTGATGTTGGGCATGAACCGGAAGGGACGCCCTGAGAGGAACCCACAAGGATGGTTCAGAGTCATTCCCTCATGCTGTGTTAAGTAGGGAACCCCAAACATTGGTGGTTTTCACTGGGCTCCTTAAAAGATACATGTTGCCCATTTGAAACATGGCTTCTTCACCATATACAAGGCAATGTTCAGGTGTATAATGTAAGGATCCCTGTTTTCATTGCGGTTTTCGTTTCGCCGGGCTGAGCGTTCAGGCGGCCTTGGCCACCTTCGACCCCAACGGCGACGGGCGCTTCAGCCGCGAGGAGTGGGCGCTGGGCCTGCAGAAGCTGGACTTCACGGTGTCCTACGACGCCCAGGCGGAACCAAACTTCGGCCCAAGGGGCATAGGCGTCCTTGTTAGGTTAGCTTGAATGGAAATAGAGGGCACTTTAGATTGGTTTTATTCCATGTACCAGGCCATCTATTTTCCAAAAAGGGTCTCGAAACAGGAACTGGACGCACCAAGAAATGGTGGAAAATCCCGGTTCCGGCTGTTGCCGAAACCGCGTGTTGCTGGGTTCCCACTGAATGAAATATTGAATCGATTAACCCAAAAGGCCCAAAAGGTTTTTTAAATATCGGGATCACCATAGGGTGGGACCAGGATGGAGAGGAGATCTTACTCGCTTGAATTGGTGTCTTTAATTCAGAAATGGATGTGATGGGGGACTTCCGTTTGGTCTCCCTAAAAAAAACAAGGTACGCTGAAGTCCCTCAATACACCCTAAATGGAATGGGCGGTCGCATACGGATCGATTCTGTTCAGGCGCTTGGAGCGTTGAACATAGGAGTGGATGCCTGGATGGGGATCGCCCAGCTCATTTGAGACATCTCAATGTACTTATGACTCCTGGACGCGGAGCGACGAACATCGCAGGGTCCAACCCTTGTTGAGAGACCAGCCCAAATAAGAGAGCCCCGCTTGCATGTGGGCTTCAAAGGGACAGCAAGGATGTTTGAGAATGGGGAACCAACTCATTGGACACCCAGAAACGAACATTCAAAGGGAGCGCAAAGGAAAGCAATCGATGGATACTTCAAAAAGAATCGAGAGGTTCCTAGGAACACCATCGCCCACAAAGAGTTTTGGCCATGGCTCAGTCCACAATCAGGTAACCCTTGGTTGGTGGGTTGGATCGATGCTTTGGTTAGTTCGTTTTTGAGTAATTGATATCAAGAGAAGCCCTCCAATAATTTGGAAGCCATGCCCCTTGGAGGTTACGGGGTACCTTCCCGTTTGGCTTCAAGCGGAACTGGGTTGGTTCAGATACTCTTTGGCAAATTTGGTCGCATGTGTGCGCTGGCTGCAATCTCGATGTAGAAGCCGTATGGAGGCTATGTAACAGCTTGGGACTGGGGTTCAACTCTCCAAACCATCAAGAGGACCCCCTGCTCCAAATTACCACTTTGTAGGGCATCATGTCAACCCCTTACTAAAAGGAGGTATGCACCATGGAAATCCATGTTTTCAAAACATGGCCCCCAATTAGTGGGTATATATGTTCCGGTGGGAACCATGGACCCCCCTCACCCATCCCACAGGGGGCGGGGGGCCTGTGAGCATGACCATGTGGGGTGTGTGGGGGGGGCGCCCAAGGCAGACTGGATCATATATTTGGAGTAGGGAAGCTGAAGTGCCAGGAGATCTTTACAGTACTGGACAAGCGCCAGCACCACATGCTGACGCTCTCAGATTTGCTGGACTACTGCAGCGGCGTGCCCGTGGACACGGGCGCCTCAGAAAAGAACAAAAAATGTGTTGCTCAAGCGGGTCCTTTTGATACAACAAACACTATCCAGCTATGTGAAGCTTTGGTTGTCTTTGGGTGTTTCCGGTTGCTTGTCACTTTGCCAAAACAGCCCACCTTTGAACAAAACCGCCGCGGTTTTCCGGAGGCATGCCGGGGCCGGGCCTGCGGGGCACCATCTCGGAGCTGTTCCAAGAGGTGATGCAGGAGGAACTGGGCAAGATCGTGCAGGAGCCGGGGGGGGCCTCGAACCATGGGAAACGAGAGAAACCGGTTCTAGATACGTGTTGGGCCACTCAAAAGAACAAACTGGTCAATGGGATAGCCGCCAATTCCGATGTTTGGAGACGCTCGAACTAAATGTTCAGCGTTTGAGACTTTGGACATCCAAAAAGCGTTCCCTTCATTTTACCTCACCTGCAACAAGCTCACTTTTTGCGGCAGAACATCAGCGCATTTCGGGATTTGATCCCGAAATGGTTCATGTCCACTGTGACAGGCGTTCAAAAAAAGGAGGCCCGGGTCGCCAAAAAGGCCCGGCGTCCCGGCGGCCTCGGCCGGGGTTGCGACGAGGTCAACACTTGGTCCTGTTGAACTGCTTGAGACGGCGAGAAGCATCGTGTGGGTGTTCATGTGGGTGTGGCTCAAAATTGAACAGCAGGGGCAAACCGCAGGTTGTGGTCCATGTTTCCACTTACCAGGGCAACCTGCCGCACCCTGCAGGAGGCTCTGGGTGAGGTGGCCATGGCCAGTCTCCAGCACCCTAGTGGGCCAGCACAGGCCCTCCCGGACGTTCTCGGCTTTGTGCGCTACTTGCAGGAGAAGAGGAAGCAGCAAGCGCTGGAGGACGTGTATCCATGGAACTGGGAAGGTGTGTTTTTTTTGGTTACCCTGTTTAGTGGCCATTTTGAAGGGAAACCAAAGGGAAAGTGAGCATTTTGTGGGTACCCTAGGAAAATGAGGCACCCATTTGTTCTACGTTCCTCAAGGTAGGGGGGGTCATGTCCACAACAGCCTGACTTTTTGGCGTACAATGAGGCTTCCGCTTGAGGTCCACCTTGTGGCTGCGCGACATCGATGGCTGTCATGTGGTGCACTGGTTTGCTGAATTTCTGTTTGTTGCCATTGAGTAACCCTTCAGACCCTTATGTCCTCGCAAGAGAAGCGTAGGCGCAAGTGATCTTACAAATGCAGCCCTGGAGGAGGCATCCTCGCCCAAGTATGCCGACCGCTTCGAAGACGAGTCAGAAAGTGAAAGCACTGACAGTGAGGATGACACCGACAGCGAGGGCGGTGAAGTCAGCGAGGGTGAAGAGGACGGCTTGGGGTCGAACGGGCGATTTGGGCTGCTTCACTAGTGGGGCATTTCTCAAAGCGGAGGATGCCCCTGTTGGGCGTGCGTGCTTCCCCTCCTTTTGCTGTTTTGGGAAGATCTTGACGAGTAGCACGAAGATATGCCACGGTGTCCCTGGCATTGCGAAGAAGTGTCTTCTGAACATCACTGAGTGTTCCAATTCTTGCTCCCCAAACGCAGGTCCACCAACGACAGATGCTTCTCAAAATGAGGGCGTTCTTGGTTCATCTCGGTTCCAGGCGAAGTGTCGGAGGAGTCTTTGGTGAGCGTCATCCGCATTCAGACTTGATTCAAAAGCCTTAGTTTGAGGGAGGAAAGCCCTTAAGGCACGTGGGATCGGCCGAACATGACTGGTCCCCGAACATGTGGACGTGTCAGCCCCCCCAAACAACAATTGGGTTGTTTTGGCACTGATCTCGAGTGAACCCAGTCTTGAAGGGCTGGCATTCAAAGGCACAGGATAGCCATGTGAAAGGTAGTCAGAGCCGCTGGCATAGAGCGGGGCATTCGCTCGTGCTCATACGCAGAACATAAAGGAAGATGCTTCCGCCTGTGCAGAGCTGTTGCAATGGTCTGACCACTTTGGTCGGTGCGAGCTGAGCAGCACTCTCTGCACAGGGCAAGAGACTTGTTCTTGAGAAATCTTGAGAACACGATTCCACGGACCAAGGAAATTGCCTGCAGCTTTCTAGGTGTTTGTGAAGATATGGAGCGCTCACGTGGACATGTCCAATCCTTTGGCTAGATGTTTGCTTTCAATGGCTGGGCCAGATTTTGTTCGACCCCGCATGCGAAGGTTGGGATTAACTTGGCGTCAGCCAGCAAATTGCGAGCTGGGCTGAACATGGCCGCTTTTCTCAGCATCGGCATTTTGCCTCGACGCAATGCAAAAGACGGGGTTGCCCTGGAACAGACTCCCAACAATGGCCGCTTTTTCTTGGCTGCTTTGGGTTGCTGGGCCGGCAGTCAGGAGACGGTTCAGAAGCTCAAGGAGCAGTTGGGCCGTGCTCCCACTCCAGAGGAGACGCGCAGGGAGGCAACAGCCAAGAGCACCATGGACAAGCATCTGGTGAGAGCGGCATTGTTCCAACTTGGCGAGGAGCTCGGCCGCGTGTCTCGGCAGCACTCGCCAAAACCGCCAAAGCTTGGCGGAGTGACAAATTCCGCACGGCGAAGCAAGCGTGTAAGACCCACGCAGCGCAAACAAATGCCTCACACAGCTACGCAGATGCTGGATTTCTGTAAAATCTGTGCCGCCAGGCACCAACTCGGGAGGAGGTGGCCCAAAAGAAGCTCCAAGATCAGCTCGGTCGCGAGCCCACCGCCAAAGAGACGCAGAAGGAGGTGAAAAAGATCTCCAAGGTGGAGAAACGCTTGGCGAACCAGGCTGAGGCCAAGCTGAGTGAGGAGCTCGGTCGCGTATCTTGGCAGGGTTTCATCATGTTGTATGGACGGATTAATGATTCGTGTTGGAAGCTGTGCTGGCAGCATGCACATGTAGATCACGGTGCTTGTTTGTACATAGCAACAGGCAGCTTGGAGTTGGGGAGGAAGTTTTCTTTGAGTGGACGTCTAGTGACTGGAATGGCTGACAAGATGAAAATGGCCCGACTTTGCAGGTTCCAACTCGAGAGGAGGTGGCGAATCGGAAGCTACAGGAGGAGCTGGGTCGTGAGCCTACGACTTCCGAGCTCCATGAAGAAACTGCCCGCACAAAGGGGCGCACGAAGGAGGAGCGCGCGGCCGTGCGCAAGGACATTGCGCACACGATGACGGTTGCAGATCAGCTCAGGCCAGGGGGAGAGGGAGAGGTGGAGGGAGAGGGATGAAGCGGCAGCTCTCCAACCTGGGGTCCAACCAAGATGTTAAGCTGCTAGCTTGCATACTTTGCCAACTCAAAAAGACACGGTTTATCCCTCCTCAGGCAGCTGCTGGGTCGCGAGGCGACGGTGGAGGAGGTCGCGGAGAAGAAGTTAGAAGAGAAGCTGCAGCGACCGCCGCTGGAGCACGAAAGGGCCGAAGCCATGGTGCACGTAGCCGTGCACCAGGAGCGATGTTCATTTCCTTAAACCGAGAGGTGCTTTTTGCGTTGAAAGCCACCCCGCCCAAAACAGAGGATGACAAAAGGATGTTCTTCTTTGTCGATCCTTTTTTGCGGGAGTTGGGGGACAGTCAGTTCCATTTCAGCAAATGCTCGCGGAGCGAGACATGTCGCGTGGTTCGGGCGTGGCTTTGACAGCTGTCTCCAGCATGAGTCGAAGACTACTAGATGATTTGTATGCCAAAGTGAAAAGCACGTTCATAAAGGACAAGTGGGGATAGGTCAGGGGGTCCCCGCCAGATTCTACGTGCGGAGCGCGGAAAGGAAAGTGAGTGAGGTGTGGTCATAGTAAACATGGCAGTTTGGCAAGTGGGCGCACAAGCCAGCCTTTGAGTCCGGAGGAGCAGGTTCAGGAGAAGGTTCAGGAGAAGCTAAAGAACCAGTTGGGTCGTCAGCCCACACCAGAAGAGACTCGGAGGGAGGCAGCAGTCACGGCCGCCACAGACAAGCGTTTGGTGAGCCAGGCGCTAGCCCAACTGGGGGTGGAGCTTGGCCGGGCATCTCGGCAGCACATGACAAGCTTTGCTCAATCCATGGGTGCACAGGTAGGTAAGACCCAAGCGCAAAGAGAAGGCTTCCCGCAAAATCTCCTAAAGACAGTAATCAACTGGGAGCCACTCTTGACTAGTGCGATCCTGCGGATGAATCCTGCCGTCAGGTACCAACTCGGGAGGAGGTGGCCCAAAAGAAGCTCCAAGATCAGCTCGGTCGCGAGCCCACCGCCAAAGAGACGCAAAAGGAGGTGAAAAAGATCGCCAAGGTGGAGAAACGCTTGGCGAACCAGGCTGAGGCCAAGCTGAGTGAGGAGCTCGGTCGCGTATCTTGGCAGGGTTTCATCATGTTGTATGGACGGATTTCGGCGTGCTGACAGGTTGAAGGCTTCTACAGGCCAGCCAGACAATAAATGACAACCAATGGAGAAGCGTGAGAATTCCAGGCATACCTCAAGATTGTCGAAACCCTTTCCAAACCGGGCATCTGATCGAGTTGGAATATTGAATCCCGCTGAGCCCGGCAAGCCTTGTAAGCTTGCAGTCTGTAGCTGCACGCCAACCCTCCTCCCCCTCACCAAACAGGTGAAAGCCTGAGTCATCAAGCAAACATATTCCCTAGTTATTCTTAAAACAAAAAGCAAAACGCATTATTATGTAAATCTGGTGTATGTATATGTATGTATGTTCCAGTCCCGCCCCCGCTCCCAACCCCCCACCCAACCCCTCACCCCGCTGCTACGGTGCCCAGACCCCCTCGAGCCCCTGAACTCGCACCCTTGCATCCCGACACGTAGGACAACTAAACCCACAACCAACCCCAAACTCCAACCCTAAACCAATCCTACCCTAAATCAACCTTAAACCAACCCTAAGCCAACCCAAAACCCACCAAAACCTACCCTAAGCTCACTGGAAGCCAACCCTCAACCAACCCTAAACCGAGCCGGTCTAACCTATATAAACTCATCCTAAACCAAACCTAAATCAGCCTAGGCCAACCCTAAACCCACCCTAAACCAACCTTAAACCAACCCAAGCCAACCCCAAACAAGCCCAAACCACCCATCCACGGCCTGGAACATGTATAGAGTCATGTACTACCCTCAATAGTGTATCCCAACTGGATGAGGTGTGCTTTGGGGTGATCTTGTGCTGCCGTGTAGATCAGGGTGGAAGCGGCAATATCCTCTATTCTGGGATTGGAACAGAACGAGGTAACGCAACGCCCCTTGCAGGTTCCAACTCGAGAGGAGGTGGCGAATCAGAAGCTAAAGGAGGAGCTGGGTCGTGAGCCTACGACTTCCGAGCTCCATGAAGAAACTGCCCGCACAAAGGGCCGCACAAAGGAGGAGCGCGCGGCTGTGCGCAAGGACGTTGCGCACACGATGATGGTTGCAGATCAGCTCAGGCCAGGGGGAGAGGGAGAGGTCGAGGGGAGGGAGAGGTCGAGGGGAGGGAGAGGTCGAGGGGAGGGAGAGGTCGAGGCGAGGGAGAGGTCGGGGGGCGGGAGAGGTCGGAAGCGGCAGCTCTCCAACCTGGGGTCCAAGATGTTAAGCTGCTAGCTTGCATACTTTGCCAGCTCAAAAAGACACGGTTTATCCCTCCTCAGGCAGCTGCTGGGTCGCGAGGCGACGGTGGAGGAGGTGGCGGAGAAGAAGTTAGAAGAGAAGCTGCAGCGACCGCCGCTGGAGCACGAAAGGGCCGAAGCCATGGTGCACATAGCCGTGCACCAGGAATGGCACCAGGAGTGGACTGGTTGAGCAATGAGAGCGTGGCACAATTCGTGTAATTTCCACAATCTCTAAGCAATGAGACATTCGTAGTCGATTCAGATATGGATAGGTTGGGAAACTCCCTCGGCTTACAGAATGCCAAGTTGAGAGTGATCATGATGCATGAGGAGTCCAACCCCTGTCATGATTCTAAACTACTTCCAACTGAACAAAGCTATGAGCAAAGCCTGGGTTGTCACAAAGTCTCACTCAGCAGGTGCAGTCTTTTGCATCTTCCTTTTGCCCTTAAGCCTTAGCTGTCGTGTCGGAATTGCCCAGGGCTGCTATGCTATCCAGCTCCAACGTGTGGAATTCAATCATGAGCTTTGCACAGGAGCAGCTCAAATCAGTTTCGGGCAGCCAAGAGAACCATATGAACCAAGATGAACAGCTCAAGCAACATTGCACCCGCACAACCCAACCCACCGCCTTTTCACGCAAGGAGAAGATGCAGCTGCAGCTTCGAAAGCCGGACTCCTCCAGCAGCCAACGCACCACCCAGTCTGAGGCAAGAGCCTCCAAGGCCGGGCCTCTTCTCGGGGTGTTTTGGGGGGGTCCATTCCTTCCATTTGCTTAATAATAGTTTGTTTTTTCCTTGTTGGTTTTAAAGGAAATCTATCACTACTGGAGATACTTGTATCTTTTTCAAAGGGGGCTTAAGCAAATGGAAGATTCTACTGCTTGCTTTCAATAGCGACTTCAGTGTTGGTTTCCTTATTTTGTTCTTCGCCTGCTGAAAGGATGTGTTCGTTGTCCTCTTCCGGTCGACGCGGCCGGAAAAAATTAGGGAACCTCACAAGTGGCTGGATATGAATCCCCACCGAACTTTGCTGTCCAAGGTCCCAACTATGTACCCCTGTGTAGGTGCCCCTGCAAAATGCCACAGAAGCTGAAATACACTATGGGTACATACATGGTATATAGCCATCTTTTCCAGTGGGCTGCCAGGGGTGTTGAAATTCCTTCGCCCGAGCACCTGAGGGCGGGTCTTCGCCCAGCCGGGGCTCTTCGCCCACCAGCCGCGGCAACTCCTCGCCCAACAGCCGCAGCACATCGCGCCAGGACCCAAAGAGCAGATCTCACATGGCAAAGCAGAGCAACATGGCTTTGGGTCAAAAATCGGTACCCAAAATAGCACCCTGGTAAATGTCTAAAACCTGTGGTCCCCTGGTGGTTTAATTTTGACCCATACCCACATAGAGGATTGATTCAGGAAGTGGTCAGAAGTTGTCAAAGCCCCTTTGGAAGGAAGGCCAAAAGAGATGGTTTACATATGTTTACACAAGCGCTAGGCGTTTGTTTAGCTTCTTTGACAAAGAGACTGGCCCAACCTCTGGAAATTAGAAGGGAACAGTAGGGCGTGTTGGCGCTGACCCGAAGAGTTGGTCGTGGCTGTGACGAGTGACCCATTGACCACCCGCCTGTTGTCGGGGGGTTTTGGCCATGGCGAGGGCTATGGATGTACGATGATGTATGGTTGAAACCCTCTCAAAACTGGCAGACACTGCAATGTGAATCGAAGAAAGAGGCCCCCAATTGAAGTTCATACACAGATGGAATCGGATTATCGTGACGGGTGATTGTCGTGGCGCGCTGGTGATGCGAAATAGCCTCCCGTGGCACCGGGGGCTCACAGGGTCTTTGCGGGTGTTTCAACACGCGGCTTTCCTTTACGAGAAAGTAGCAGCAAAGCTGGGAAAGCCCAAAGAAGGGTTTCCTAAAAGAGCCTAGATCCCCTACCAAAAGGAAACAAGCCATTTAATTGGAGGGTTCCCCTCATCAAGGAACGCTCTGTCAAAACTAGGTGTCCTGGTTCTCTTTGTTTCCATTTTTAGCAGAAACCACCATGACGCCCACCGTTGTGCACAGCGCAGAAATCAGTCCCCGAACGCAAAAATAGAAGTCTGTAAACGCGCCCGTGTTGGTATGTATGTGCATTTGTGTATACTATATGTATATATCTATAGATACACCGTGTTAATTGGAATTTGAAGCGGCATTGACCCCTTCCATCTTCAGGCGCTATTGGCTATTGTTGCCTTACACGTTGGGGATCAGAACGGCGCATGTGAGCCATAGACTATAGTTGTTGTCATATAGCAAAGAGGGCTACATTGGGCGCGCGCGCACACACACACACACACCAAAGGAAAGGAGATTAGCTCTTCGGCAAACTCGATGTGAGACACAACAATTCAGTGACTCAGACCCACCAGTCTTTGGATGCCATGCGTCCCCTACTTTCCTGGGGGGAGATGGCTTGCAGGACAAGAGAGGCGGGAAGAAGAAGGGCCGATCGCTGATGGCGCCTTGGCCGCCACGTAGGTTTCTCAATGCCCAGTTTCACCCGAAAGTTGGAGCACCATTTGAAGAAGTCGATTCCTGATCTCTGCGTCTCGTGAAATCGCGGACCCCCGTGGTTAAACGGAAAGAGATGGAACTGGCAGGAACCAGCCGATACGGGTCCTCGACCAAAAGCACCGAAACTGGGGAAATTGATCTCGTTTTCCCCTGTGCTTCGGGGGTGCTTTTTAGCTCATGTCAAAATTGGGGAACCCCCAAATACTGGGAGCTGTCGTTCTCATGTTTTTCTCCTTGCCAATTCCCAGGAGCTCCTGACCCACAGCTTCAAGGAGGACAGCGATGGCCCGCTGGACCTCAACTGGGCGGAGGCGGCCCTGGAAGGACCCTCCACCACCAAGGGGTCGGTGGATCCCAAGGACAGCCGGCATCGGTCGCACCAACGCGGCGCGTTTCTGGGAAAACGTGGGGGGTGGGAAGGGGGGGGGGGGGGGCTGACCTGTTTGTTTTTCCTTGGTGGGTTTACTTGTAGTGAAGCTTTTTCTTTTGGTTTCCAAGTTCGGTCTTGACCTGGGCTTGCTTGGTTTGCCTTGGGTTTCGCTTTGTTATGTGTGCCGTTGTTTTTCATGGAAGCCACCACCAAACCCTTTGTTTGATGTATCCGTTCATCCCTTGAAAGCCACCAACCCCTTTTCAATCGGGTAACCCTTTGGTTTACCTATGTCTCCACCAAATGGGCGTGTAATTTTACTCGGCTTGCCTTGGTTTTACCTTGGGTTGCCTTCAAAGCCACCATAAACCCGTTTTTGTGTGATTTGCCTTTGGTTTTCCGTTGATAGGCCTTGGGAAGCAACACCACCGCGCCCTCGAGTTGGCAAGCTCTGTCGAGGGGTCTACGTGGTTCAGAGGGTCTTAAGGAGGTCTGTGTAAACTGCATGAAATTGTGTTTCCCCTGTTGTGTAACCGTCCGACTAAAGCCAAACGTCAATTGAATCGGTGACTGTTGAGTCCCTGCATTTGGCAAATGAAGAGAGCGTTTGCCAACGAGCTGATTCTGAATGGGGTTGTTGGTTGGGGTCATGGCCTCATTCCCCAGCAAGACCAGCGATGGCGACCCCAGATTTCAACAGGGAGAGGGAAGGACGGAGTCCGAGCACAAACCGGCACCCTTGAATAACCACTAGGGTGTGGATGCATCAGGGCTTGGCTGCTCTTCAAACCAAGCTAAAAAGGTACCCTTAAAAAGTACGTACGCCTACACTATGCGGTTAGGAAAGCCTCAGGAGGAGATCGCCAAGGCCAAGAAGAAGCTTAAGAAGAAGGACGACAGGAAGAAGGCGAGTGGAGCTTCCAACTTGAAATTCCAACCGCTGTTTGTACTTGTTCTTGTTTGTGGTGTGTGTTGTTTTGTTGGGGGGGGGGGGGGGGGAGTTTGCAAAAGTTGCTTTGGATATGTTTATTCTATTGGGCGGACTTGTCATGGTCAACCCAATTTATAGCTTCTTTTGTGTTGAGTGGGGGCGTTAAACAGTTGGATCGGACCCTTCCGGGCGTTCATTTCAACTCCCAAAGCTAGGCCAAGCAAGAGTCCTCTATTAGTGCTGGGTTCTCGAGTCCCCATCTTTGGGTTTGGGTTGGGAAGAGCTTGCTTCAGCGTGGGAGCGTAAATTGAACGCCCTGGCTGCACAGAGTGTCAATTTAGTTGAGAATAGATTTGTCCTTGGTCTCAGTTTGATTCCAATCAGTCACCAGTTCCATTCTACTTGTTCAAAGGACACCCAGGCCTAGTTGATCCTTCACAGATGAAGACCGCCGCTTCCACTGACAGTTAGCACTACAGCAGGGAACTGCCACTTTCATGAGCCTGGCGACCAAATCCGGTGGCGTTCAGGTTTTGTTTGTTGACTACACCGAAAATGCTTGGTCGAACATACAGTTGGGAGCCGCAAGAAAGCATTAATCCCTCCTCTTGAAGGTTGCCCCATGTTGCCCCATGTTGCCCCTAAACCCAAGAGACCCGGTGAAATGTGTAGTTTCCCGTTCCCATTTTGAGTGGTCCAGTCATCTCCCCAGCCTCTTCAAGATGAAAGCACAAGGGTAGCTAGTTGATTTTTGGTTTCGGGTCTTTGGAGAAGGAGAGCCTCCCCGACCTCCGCTTGGAACCCCTCACCAACCTTTGGGTCCCTTGATTGTTTATTGCTTTCGGGACCCGATGGGAAGACCCTCTAAATCACAATTTCGCCCGGCGATTTGGCAGACTGAGGTTTTTTGGCACTGGACATAAACCCCCACCTAAAAGACATCCACACACGGTTACGATGCTGGGCTTTCTAGCGCGCATGGGAAGCTGGCCCGTCATTTTTTTCTGCCAGCCAATCAGCCTGCGGATCAGCACGTCATGTCCCAACATCCGCGGTGCAACCGAGTAGAAATCTTTCACCCGTCCGAGGTGAAGAGCCACTCCCCAGTGAGGCACCTCACCAGGGATCAGCTACCTATGGCCAAGTTCCTGGGCTACGGCTTCGTGGAACGCGAGGAGACTGGCAGAAAACTGAAAACAAAGAAGGACCAACAAGAGGTGTTTTTTTTGGTGGGGGGGGAAGAAAATGTTCAGGTGGATGATAGAAGAACCCCAGCTTCGCATGTGCACGTGAGAGGGTGCTGCTTTTCAGGTTGGTTTAAAGTTTAAAGAGACCACCCATTTGGTTGTCGACACATAGCCATACGGAAGTGTCGAGCCACGTTTGCTTGAGTCCCACTTGGGAAATGAGCCCAACAACGCGAAACGCTCGAAGCCTAGCCTTTGTCCAACAATCAAGGGATTGCCAAAAGAAAGGTAAATCCCAACCCCTCCTGTCAGCTCTCAAGTACAAGTTGGGGAAACCAACCTTTTCCACTGGACCAAAAGGAACCCGTTTGGTGGTGGGCCACTGGGGTCGGACGAATCCGCGGAGGATTTCGGGAACATCCCAGAGGCCAAGTTGCCGGCCTTCGTGCCGCGACCGCCCTCTGAGATCTGTAAGACCTACGGTCACATCTTTCAAATCCTTGCTGACCCCAGGCAGGAAGCGGAAAAGAAAGCTGCCAGGACTGTTTTAAAGGAAGCCTGGCATTTTGAGGGGCCTGGATTTTTGGAACACCCTTTCTGGGTCTTCAATCACGTTGGGGCATCCAGCCCAGCTTACTGACTTGTTCAGACCGCCAAGCGGTGTTTCTCAAGATAGGGGTCCCCTTTCCCTTTCCCCTGAAATGCCAACCATTTGGGGGTGTCTGAAATCCATTTAAGGAAGCTAAACTCCAGCTCATTACCCAGTTTTGTCCATGTCCAGTGTTCAGGGTGAAGAAGCTGAAGGTGGAGAAGAAGAAGCAAGTGCACATGCCCCGCACAGATGGCTTCGGCTCGAAAAGCTCCCCCAACTTGACGCACCTCACCGACTCCACCGCCTCCTCCACCGGCCAGGCCGGGCCAGCTGGTTCTTGTAGTTTCTCTTCGAAGTGGGCGTTTTCGCAGTCCATGGAGCTAATTTTGTGGTACACTTGGGCTCATCAGCTGAAGATGTCCTGACATGAGGCACCCCTTCTTGCGGGAAACGAAACGATGCCACAAAAAACACCTCAACGTGGGAAACACCGTGAGCAGCGCCATGGGCGCCAGTGGGGAGCGTGCCTAGGGGGGCTTGTGCTTTGCAAGCCTGCCCTGGGAACCCGTTGAGGGTTGATGTCCAACAGAGCCTTAAGAGAGGTTCGGGCTGAGAGGGAATGGTCATGTCCCCCTGGGCGATTCTTTAGACAACCATTCAATTCCGCTATAGAACGCATGACGGACCAAGTCTGTAGGTATTGAGAAACACTCATTGAATCTATCAGGAACCCCTTTCTCCCTGCGTCACCTCAAAGATTTACGGGACCAAACCGCAGCCACGACGATTTCAAGCCTTACAGACCCAGGAATTCCACTGCACTGTCTCGAGCGCCAGATTCCGGCAGATCCTGACTCTTTGTTCAACCTCGAATGCCCATTCAAATTGTAAAAAAACACGCGCTAGCTCTCAGCGTCCCGCTCGGAAACTCCAATGTTTTGCTTGGTTTCCCCGATTTGGAAACAATCCAATATATATATATATATTATGTGTACACGTATACTAGAGATATAGAATGTATTAAATATAAATTGTCACAAATACATGACGCATGTACAACATATACATATGTGGCTTGATGTAGCTATAGATGGGTGTACGCTATATCTTTTCCACATTCAGGCGGCAAATCGCCTCTGGACCTTTTGGCCCCACTTCCCTTTTCCCATGACATGGGCATGGACCGATTCTTCGGCGTTTAGTGTTCCAAAGGGAAGCCTCAAAGAAGCTTAAAAGCAATTTTGGTGTTCCCTTCAATTGTCAGGCGTTTCCTGTGCTTTCCCCACACCCATCTAGAAAGGGGGCGGTTCGTATTGTTAGCCACCCATTTCTCAACCGGAATGTCTACATGGCGCTAGGTACGTGTCACAATTGCTCTGCTGGCGCAAGCAAGGTAAGGCCATCTCATCCTTGCTTCACCACTCCCCACTTAGCCCATGGCTCTGCAAGCCTGCGAAGCAAGTTTCGAACCGCGTACCGCGGTGAGCCCCCAAAGGCTGGCCATCTTGAAGGAAAGGTACGGTTGGGGCATGTTTCTCCAGCCCCCGAAACGCCAAAGAACCCCACAATCACCCATTTGTACTTGGTGGCTCCCAGCCATCCCCTTAGCTTTTCAGACTTTTAAGTGTTAGCGGGGATTTCCATTTGACCCACTAAAAGTTGAACTTTTAGCAGGGGATCTGAAATCGGGCAGCCCATTTGTAGAGTCTCCTCAGCCCCGTGGTTCCTTGGATTCACCGGCCGGCCCAGGTGGCGCTGCCCCCACTGGGCGGCTCCAAAAGCTCCAAGCTGGAGCTCAGGAATTCGAGCTCCGGCATCGATGCCGAGTGCCGGCGTGTCCCTGGGGCCCTGCGAGCCCAAGGCTCTGGGTCTTAGATGCCCAAAGAAAGGACTGCCTCTGTGTGGGCTGCTTTGAGCTCTTGGGCTTGACTTCAAACTTCCCGTGGATGTTGCTTTTTTTCAGCCACAGACATTTTCAGCCCTGATAGCATACAAGGTAAACTCTTCCAACAAGTGTTCACCAGCTAGATGCGCATACGGAGGCATCTGACGTTGGCATGTTCTTCGAAGTTTCACACGGATGTAGTTTCATGGTCGTCGGAATCGCGCAGTGTCTCACCACAGAAGTGGCGAGACTTCAACATACATTCATTCACAGCACTGCCACTAGCCTCTATTGCGTAGAACGTTCCGGTAAGGCAACGTACGGGCGGATGGGTGTATGGGTATACAGGGTATATTTATATTTACATATATCTATATATACAATATGCTTACATATATCAATATATGTATATAAATTGCATATATATATATATATATAGAAACATAATTATATATTTTGCATTTGAATATTTGTAAATATAATATTATATGTCTTTTTACAAGATTATTTCCTAGATTGGTGAATGTTATAGGAATGTTAAATTTTAAGTAATGAAGTGAATTTTAGAATTCCGATTAGATGATTAGGTATTGTTATTTTGGGATGTTCTTTAGGTTGTGATGTAGAGTTGTTACGGTTGATTATGGAATGTTATTTTAAAATAATTAAAATGAAAAAAAAAAAAATATATATGTTTTTTTAAAAAATAGAAGGATTTGATTTATTTGGAATTTTATTATTTTTTGATAATATGGTATTGTATATTTATTGGATAGAATTTATAATTTATAATTTGTATTTTAAGAATGAATATATTTTATGAGTAAGGCTCGAAATACCATATTTTAGATTATATAGGTTGGATCGTTTTAAATTTGAACAATTTAGCGATAAAAATAGGGGATATGAAGAAAATTTCTTGGTCGTTGCCTCGGCTCGTTTTTCGGACGCATTATATGGGTTTGTTTTTGTTTATAGGCTTATGGAGGAATAAGAAATAATTTTTTAGAGGAGTGGAGTGTTTGTTGTAAAATTGGAATTGATATTCTCTTTTTCGAGATTTGTTTTTGATTTAGCTTAAAAAAGGGTGTTATGAAAGATTACCTAAGTGATAAGATTTAGGTAAATGACGAGATAAAGCTGGCCGACTTCGGCTTAGCTTAAGAGATTCGAGTGCTTGGGTCTTAGGTTGATGGAAATCGTGTTGTTATGGGTAGAAAAATATTTAGATATTCTTTAACCATTTTGGTTAAAATATCGTGTTCGTCTTACGAGAGTTTGGCGATGTGAGAAGCTTTGAGCCGTGGCCGATTGTTGCGATTAGCGACGTTTCGCAATGTTTTGAGCGAAATTAGTTTGGCTTTATTTTTACCTAGGATATTTGTTGGTCGATCGTGTTTTCGGACGGATTTTTTGAGGCCAATAGCCTACGGGTTGGTTCTTATCTTGCTTAGGCGACCGCCTTTCACTGGCTATATATTTACACGTTGACATTGGACGCCTGAGACATAATTTTTTTTTGTTTATCATAATGCTTTAGGAAATATATTGAGGTGCTGCTGAGAAATTTTATTCATAACTCGCCTTTAGATATTGGGGTTTTTAGCTTAGTGTAGAGTGCAGTCTTTCGAAATGTTCTGCCTGGATAGGATCTAAAAAACTCACGGCTCATTTTGGTTGCCGCTCGAAGTTGCAAGGCTTATGGTGGTATTATGGCGGAATTGTACCCCCTTAATAACTAGAGGCAATTAAACATTCCCCAAGATAGAGTGGACTAGGGATATGGGGCTTTATGTGTTTTTGCATAGCCGCCTTGCATTTCTAGGGATTAGCCGGCAGATATAGTAATTGGATGTTTTTATAAGATCTAATTTCCCAAAATATTCTAGATATTTTTGGATAATCGTAATTATCTATAATTTTCTCGAAATTTTGAAATCGTTTTTTGTCAAACATGTGCTCAATCTATTTGCCTATTTCTTTGTTTATGAGTATGATTGTGTGTATCTTCTGTCTAGAATTGTTAATTATAATATTTGTTTATTTTATGTTCTGATTTTGTTATTCCTTTATTATGGGCTTTATCTCGTATGTTGCTAAAAAGCAGCGGGCCCCCGCTAACATATATTGAAATTGATATTTTGTTAGAAATAATTTGGAAATAGGATTGATATATATATATATATTCAGATATGTTGCTAATTATAAACATATTATATATATTGGAAATTATATGTTTTTGTTTTTTGTAATAGTAAGTTCGAGAAATATGGTTTGCTATTTTAGGTTGGTTGGTGGAATATGTTTTTGATAAATGATAAATATTTATGATATTTAAATTGATTATTGGGAGATAAGAATTAATATAGAATATTGTATTTTGTATATATATATACATATAATAAAATGAAATTTATATTTCGTAATTTATATTTCGTAATTTATAGATATAATTGATATAATTGTTTTTATATATAATTATTAAATTAATTTTAATAATTATTAAATTAATTTTAATAATATAAATCAAATTATAATAATATGTGAGTTGTATTATTTTGTTTTGCAAATTATTTTTTATCAATATTAAAAAAACGTATTATGTTTTTTAAGTTAGGGGTTTGAGAAAAATTGAAATATTGTATTATATATAGTGGGATAGTTTATTGATAAATTAGATTATTAATTAATTAATTTGTATTTTATAATATCAATATTATATTATAAAGAATGAAGGTTTGTTTATAATAAAGATTTATTTTTTATTAATTAGATTTTTTAAATATCTATAATGGTTATATTATATTTTTTAAAATATTTATATATATATATATATTCATATCGTTTTATTTATAGGTCTACCTTCATCAATATCTTTATTTCTATCATTGGTTTTCCTTATTTTTAAAAAGACATATTTCTTATTATTTTTATGTTAGAAAATTAATATTTTAATTATATATGTAATTTATATCTTATTCTATTTTATTAATCGTTTAATTTTCGAGTTTATATTTCCTGATTAAACTAATTATTATTTTTTATTTGTATAATTACAAATAATATAATTAGTGTTTGGTTCTTATTATATATAAAAATATATTCTTCTTTTTTTCCTTTTATTTAGTACTATATTTTCCATTTTTTTATAATTGAATTTAGATTTTTATAATGTTTTCAATAGTTATATTTCTTTTTTAAAATTAATATTTATTTTTTAGAATTATTTTTGGTTTTATATAACTATTATCTATTTTATCTTTTTATTTTGAAATTTCTATATGTTTAATTCATTTATATAATTTAATTTGTTTCATAGAAATAGGATAATAGTTTATATATGTCTATATAATTATATTGAATTGTCATTCTCTTTTTTTATATCGATTTCCATCCTTATCTACAATTATACCTCCTTTTCTTATCCTTCTTTCTCTCTAACTACCCATATCTATCTATTTATATATATCGATTCAAGGAACAAGTAGCAAATGATTACTACCATTTAATCCATTTAGTTATTTATCTATTTTAAAAATATGATTGTTATAGCTATATTTTTATCTATGTATTTATTATTCTCTCTCTTTCTCCCTTTATTTATATAATTAAATCTCTATTTTATCCCTATGTCTGCCCCTCTCTTTTTTCTCTATTAGGTACATTCCAACAGAGCTGGAGACCTTACATATATTAGGATAGGATTAGGATAAGAGCAGAAGAGGAACAAGGAAATATTGGAATTAGATAATTCTAAAAATGAGTTCGGTTCTGCTTAGATACCCGGGAAATTAGAAAAATAAATGAGATTAGAAGTGTCTTTCCTCCCCAGTTATGTTTTTTGAAATTTTTGATTACTTATTTGTTTTGTATTTTTGTATGTGTGTTTTTAGTATTCTTTTAATATAGAAAAATATTTTTATCTTATTCTTGTTCTTTTGTAATTTTCTATGGTATTTGTTTCAAATAGATATCCTTATCTTAGCATAATGTTTGACTACAATTTACATCAATTTAAGCAGATGAAATATTTTTTACAAATTTAGAAAAAGGATATTAAAAATCAGCATTTTGTGCTATATATACTAATATGTTTAGACATAATTTGGGTATTGGTGTAAGTACCGAATATAAATATGAATATTTGATAATAGCCGTTTGTTTTTCCACATATAATAAACATTTTTGTTCTTTAGTATTTTATATAGATTCTTTGATAAAAATTATTGATTTTGTGATTTTTAGTATATTAAAAATTAAAAATAATAGAAAATGAGGAAATATAATTTTGAATAATATAGTTAAGAAAGATATTATTTTATATTTGTTATTTTGTTATTTTCAGAAAACAATAATTTTAGATAAAAATAATTCTGGTTATATATATATATATATTGATTTAATTGTTGTATTTATTAAAACAAATTAATTATTGATTTGGATATTTTGATAAATATATATATTTTTTCAAAATATTTTTTCTAAACCTTAAATTCTATAAAAAATAGAATAATCCTGATATGGTTGTTTTTGTTCTTTTCCATATATATCTATTTGGATAAATATAGATTGTATTCAATAATTAATTCGAATATTAAATTTAATACCATAATATATGTTCTGTTATTTAAATATTATTTAATTCCCAAAACCAAATCTTAATCTATAATTAATAGATATCTATCTTAGATAAATAATAAAAATAAAATAAATAAATATAGATAAATATCAATAAATATAAATGTAAAAATTAAATTTCAATTACAATATATTATTACATTAATAAATTTATTAATACCAAGAAAATTAAAAAAATAATATAATATATATATAAAATATTAAATAAATAGTAAAAATGCAATATTAATATTTAGAAACGATAGAATTAGATTATTAAAACAATTAAAACATAATTAATTAAACAAAAAACAAAACAATTACGAACTCTTACCAAAATATAGATATATTTATTCCCGATCAAAAACATCTTTTCCACAAATTCAATATCGAGATACATATATATATATTAAAT